ACTTCTGAGAGAGACATTCTCAAGGCAACTGCCAGTGCCTAACTGCCATGGCTCACAGCACCTAGGGCGATCTTCTTTTTTTTTTTGGTACTGGAGATCGAACTCAGGTCCTTGTGCTTGCGCAGCAGGCAGCAAAACCACTGAGCTAAATCCTTGGCCCTAGGGCGATCTTTTTAGCATCCCGATCAATTTCTTCCTACTCTGTTTATATGCTTTTCATAGCTTCTTCTTGCACCTAAAAAAAAAGATCCATATTCCTTACCCCAGTGGACATGGCTCACACCTATTTTTCCAACCACATCTTTCCTTCCAGGCCATACTTTAGACTTTGTGCCTTTCCTAGACTAGTTCAGCTTCATTTCTTCACAGGGCCTTTTTTTCTCTCTTTTTCTTTTTGTGCTACTGGGAAGTCAACCTAGGACCTCTGCACTCAGCCTATTAACAGCCTTTTTTATTTTTTATGACTGGATCTTAACTGAGTCACTTGGTTACCCTAGCTGATCATGATAGTGTGATTATCCTGTTTTAGTCTCACATAGTTTTGGGAATACAGATGTGCAGAAGCACATCTGGCAGGATTTTTTTAGATGTTATATAGGAACGTAGCTGAGGCTGTCCATGAACTCATGATTCTCCTGTCTCAAACACCTGAATACATGGTTTACAGCCCTCTACCATTATATATCTGGCTGTATCTCAAAGTCTTTTCCACATACCTTTCTTTCAGAAATGGTTTATTTCCAGATAGTCACATGATTCCCTCATTTCCATGTCCCTTCATTAAAGAGGCCTTCTTAATCAGTTTGTGCAACATGGCATACTTCACCACTCTGTATTCACAATGTTTTCCTTTATAGTGGTTATAATAACCTGGTTTTAAAATTTTTACTGGTGCTTCAGATTAAGCACCCCTGAGGCATAACCTCAAACCCTGATACTGTATTTTATATCTCATCCTTTTCATTGGTGAGTGCTTCACTGAGCACAGATTCAGCTGTGTCATTCACCAATATATCTCAAGCAACTAGTGCAGTGGTTGATGTGTAACAGGTGCTCAATAAGTACTTGATGAATGAATGGACAGATGTATGTGTAGACAGAGAGATGGTCAAGAATCTTCTCAGTCGCACTCCTGTTTCCAACATACACACACACACACACACACACACACACACACACACGTTTTGTAGTTTTGGGCACTGAACACAGGGTCTCACATATGCTACACACATTTAAAGAAATGGCCTTATTTTTTTTGCAAGTTGTCTAAGCATGATTGTAGGAATCACACTGTGAGAAGCTGCACTCAAGGATTCCTTTTGCCAGCAGAGGCCTTAAAAGAGCAGTTACATATAGAAATGTACTTCAAGAGAAGTGGGATACTTGAGAATTGGCCTTGCGTAAGCTGGATTTCCAGTCAAAATCCTTTACAGGGGCCGGGGATTTAGCTCAGTGGTTTTGCCGCCTGCTGCGCAGGCACAAGGACCTGAGTTCGATCCCCGGTACCGAAAATAAATAAATTAAAAAAAAATAAAACCTTTACAGAAAAACGTTTTATTAAGTAGTAAAACCCCACTCCCCACAATGGGCTGGGGAGAAAGGAGCATGTAAACCCAAAGGGTTTCCTGCGCTTTCTTCATGCCTTTCCTGCTCCATGGAATAGGTTTTTTGCAGGGGCTCTTTTTTCTGCCTTCTAAGGCCAAAAGCATGAGGCTCTCTGTGCAACCCCTGCTTATTTCTTTAGTGTAGAAGCCTAGGCCTCCTGCTTTGTGCTGGTGGTTGCTGGCTAGGACTGAGGTCAGGAGTCCATCTGGTAGATCAAGCTTCCTCTAGGCCACTCTGCACTTGACTCCTCCTTAGCTTGCAGAGAGCAGACAGGTGTTTCTTCTGCACAAGCAGGGACTTTAGAGTGTAGAGTGGGAGAACATCAGACCTTCTTCCAGGCCACCTAAGACTTGGTGTTCAAAGCAGGCTGTTGTTGGAAACACCAAGTTTTACGGGTCCTTTCCCCACAGTCAGTCAGCATGGAAGTGGGGGCTCCTGGCTGAGGAAGGCTCAGGAAGAATGGTTCAGGTTCTATTTTCAGTGGTGGGCAGTGGAGGTCACTGAAGTATAGGCATTAACTCTCTTCTGACATCTAATGTTTATCCTCTCAACAGAGTGGCTCAGCCAGAAATCTATTTTCACCATTGTTCAATTGGCACATTTTGGGACTAGGCCTACCTATGTGTTAGATAAACTCTGCTATAAATGGAGGTCTTTTGGGAGCTTTCTGGAATGCTGGCTTACCAGCTCTGGCCTTTGCTGGGTTCACAATGGAAGCATTCCTATGGAGCCACCTGAATGCTGGCTTCTCTGCTCTGGCTTTTGCTGGGCTGGTGATGGAAGCATCACTATAGGCCCAGGAGCTGCCAGTGAGGCAATATGTCTCTCCATGGTTACCCACCTAGCTTTCCACATCTTTGGTAGAGGGCATATTGGTAAACAGATATGGGAGCAGCTCTGATTGGTAGTGCTGCTAGAAAGGAAACCAGAACTGATCAGTCACTTGTCCTTTAAACATTGTGCTGCCAGGACCTCCCTTTTTCCTGCACATTCTGGCCCAAAGCCCATTAATCCACTTGGTAGCCCAAATATATAGTTGGCCTTAATTTCAATGTATCCATTAGGAAGGGATGCCCAGTGTAATAGTCTCTGTGGAACCAGCAGCAGCAAGAGACCAGAATATGTGTTTTCCATTCCCACAGAGAACAGGAGAACCTGAACATAATAGAAAATGTGACCCACTAAATTTCTGGGTACCAAGATTTGGACTTCTCATACCAACCCAACTTACTCAGATGCTTTGTTGTTAGATCTCTAGTCTCAATAGTACTTTCTCTTTTTCTGTGTCAGTTGTATGACATCATCCTTTCCTCCCTACTCAGCAGCTCAAACAAGGATGTGACTGAGAGGGCTCATCTCTGTGTCTCCATGACAGCATAGTAAAGATGCAAGGTGCAGTTCATGAAAGGCCTTCAATAACTCTTAAATTATCACTTAACAGCTAAAGCACGCTTAGGTTGAGCCTAATTGTCATTATGGAAGGGTCTAAAGAAGTACCTTATCTTTTCTTTTTGAAATTGGGTCTTTCAGGCTGGTCTTGAACTCCTGGGAATAAGGGTTTCTTGCACCTTAGCTTCTTTTGTATCAGGAACTATAGACTCACTCTATTGCACTCTGCTCTGAAGGAAACATCTTGTATTGCAAAGGAGAAGGCTAAATTGGTAAAGATTAGAGTCTTTCTAAATGCTTGCCCACAAATGACATCATTTTTGGCTCAACAATAAACAGGAACACTCTAGCTCCCTCACAGGGTACCAGGGTGTTGATCCTACTTATGAGTAGGGAAGTTTGGAAGTGTGTGGCAAGCACAAAAGGAACATTGATGGCCCATGAGGTTGTGTGTATACCATGGTCTTTTGCAGAAATACCTTGTAAAAGCTTACTTGCTGCACTGCCCTCCCAGCTGACTGCCAGCCACCCATCTTCAAGGTCTTTCCAGGCAGTACTGAGGACTACAACCTCATTGTTACTGAGCATAGTGCTGCTGCTACAGCTGCTGGTCAACCATATCCGCTTGTCCCTCTCAAAATTGTTTTTACATCTGTGGATTTAATAAAAGCTTCACTGATTAAAAAAAATGACAATGTTAACATTCCACTCCATTTTAAAGTAAGCAATTTATCTTTTTTTTTTTTTTTTGGTACTGGGGATCGAACTTGGGTCCTTCCGCTTTCGAGGTAGGTGGTGGAACCACTGAGCTAAATCCCTGGCCCCCTGA